TGTGTGTGTGTGTGTGTGTGTGTGTCTGTGTGTGTGTGGCTGTGTGTGGCTGCGGCTGTGTGTGGCTGCGGCTGTGTGTGGCTGCGGCTGTGTGTGGCTGCGGCTGTGTGTGGCTGCGGCTCGCTGTGGTTGTGGCTGACTCTTAGGAAAAAAAAAAGCCTTGCGGGGGAAAAAGTTGACCTTTGGAAAAAAGTTGGCCCTTAGAAAAAAAACTAGCTTGGGAAAATCAAAACTGGCTGCGGAAAAAACAAGCTGGGCTTTGGAAAAAAAAAGGGCTTCTGCAAGATGTTCTGGCTTTGGAGAATAACGCTCGACGGGTGCCGGTCTAGGCCATTACTATCCCAGACCCTTTGTCCTGGCAAGGCTCTCCCAGGAGGAGCCTTCGTCCTGGCAAGGCTCTCCCAGGAGGAGCCTTCGCCCTGGCAAGGCTCTACCAGAGCCGTTGTTCTGGAAACGGCTGCCCCAGGACATTTGCTCTGAGAAGGCTGCCCCAGTCCAAAAACTTTAACCTGTGCCCCGGCAAAGCGGCTCCAGAATCTTTGCGCTGGGAAGGCTGTCCCAAAACGTTTGATCTGGATAGGCTGTCGCAACGCAGCGCCTTCACTTTGGATACGCTACGCCAGCGCCTTTGCTTTGGGGCGGCTGTTCTGCGGCCTTTGTTCTGGAATGGCTGCTCCAGCACCTTTGCTTTGGAGAGGCTTCCCCAGATGAACCTTTTTTCTGGAAAGGCTTTCTCAGAGCCTTTGTCCTGGAAAGGCTGCGCCCGGGCCTCTCTTCTGTGGCAGTGCCCTGGGGAGGCTGCTCCAGGCGCTCCGTTCTGGGAAGGCTGCTCCAGAGCATTTACTCTGTTTTGAAGTCTCCTCCAGCCCCTTTCTTCTGAAAAGGCTGCCCCAGAACGTTTTTTTCTGAAAAGACTGCCCCAGGGCCTTTGTTCTGGGGAGTTTGTTCCAGGAGCTTTGCTCTGGAGAGGCTGCTCCAGAGCCTTCACTCTGGGCAGGTTGGTCCAGCGGCTTTGTTCTGGCAACCGCTGCCCTTTGTTCGGGGGAAGTTCTTCCAGGACCTTTGCTGTGGAATTGGAAAGGCCCTGCCAGGACTTTTGTTCTGGGAAGGCTGTTCCAAAACTTTTGCTCTGGATAGGCTGCCCCAGTACCTTCGCTCTGGCGAGGCTGTCCCAGCATCTTTGTCCTGGGGCGGCTGTTCTGGAGCCTTTGTCCTGGAAAGGCTTGGCCAGCGCCTTTGTTTTGGATCGGCTTTGTCAGTACCTTTGTCCTGGAGAGGCTGCGCCCGGACCTTTGTTCTGGGACTGAAAGGAAGCTGCCCCAGAACCTTTGCTCTGGAAAGGCTGTCCCCGGACCTTTGTTCTGGGTTGGCTGTTTTGGCGCTCTTGTTCTGGGCCGGCGGATTTCAAGATAACTCTCGGATATTATTATCATAAAAGTATACTATATCCTTATCCCCGCTCTTAGAGACATGGCCCTCTACCGTATACGGATGGCACCCTCTTAAACTAATGAGACGAAATCCAGGAAATCTATCAAGGAACCAGACGCATCACTGTCATCACCAAAGTCCAAGAGGTATAACCCAGATCATAATTCAGTATCATTCCCGGACAATGGGCCGAACCTATCCTTGAGAGATGGGTCCAACCTCTGCTTCATTAATTCTTTCAGGCTGGAGACCTCCTTCTCTACAAGTTCGCCCATTTCCTTCAGCGGCTGCATCGCCTCATCGAGTTGCTGTATTTTTGAAGAAAGCACGTGGAGGCCCATTTTCAAGGAAAACAAGCGGAGGCGGGGTGTCATGTCATGGCACCTCTTTCGTAGCTATTTATGCACTGGAGGAGCTTGCGGGGGAAGTGATTATACTAACTGGCGAGTTAACTTAGGTGAGAGAAAAGACGCGATCTCTCGAAGGTTCCTGGACGACAGTCGACAAAAAATGTCGGCTGAGGGACCAACTAGGGAGAGGGTTGGGGGCAACGGGCCCCGCGAGCCCCGTCGTGTGCGGTGCAAAAAATGCACTCACGCGCGACGCCGCTGGTCGATGCAATGGCGCATCCCGGCGAAGGCGAACCTCGGTTCGCGCCTCCACAGGAGGCCCGGGTGCGGTCGGGTGAGAGCGTTAATGCTACACCCACGGGGCGGAGTTCACATGCAGAGCGGAGCAGAGCGGAGCGGAGCGGGCTGCCGGCGCACGGGCCAAAGCGCTCGCGCGTAGGCCGCGGGAGGGCCAACGCGCCCTCCGGCGGTGCGGTGGGCAGGCGCGTGGCGCCCAGTGGGGGGTGCTGGAGAGCTCGTAAAAATCGAGTTCCGCCGCGCGCGCGGCGCGCCATCCCCTCGCGGGGCAAAAATCGCCGCGGGGGTTTGGCGCTTGTGGCAGCACATTTTCGTAGCCTCAAGCTGAAATCTAGCTTGGGCAGGTTTAAAAGTCTTTCTTTTTCCCAAAAATCCAGGGACTTTCTGTGCGCGTATAGTCGCAATCTAGAAACTAGTAACTAGCAGTGCCCCCGCACTCTGGTGTTTACAAAAACAAAAAACAAAACGACCTCCCCAAAAAGCGTCGGAGACCTCGCCATCCACACAGGCAAAAATCCTGTGGGGAGCGAGGACGTCGACGAGAAGGGCAAAGCCCTTCTGAAACAGATCGACGGATCACTGCTTCGCCCCTCCATGGCGGAGGCCATGGAGGCGCTGCAAAAGCAGCTGGAGGAGAAGACGCAGTATGAGGAGAAACTCATACTCTGCGCAAACGTCCAGGACTGGATTGCGGCACTCCGACAGATGGTCGGCGAACTTCCGGAAACGGAATTCATCGACACGGTCAAAAAAGACCTGGAGGGCCCGCGCTTCGTGGGGGAAGATGGAACCCTAACCGAACAGGGCACCGCCTTGATGTGGTTCCACTTGTGGTTGGGCGCATACCACGAGGAACTAACGGCGGAACCCTGGGCCTCGAAGTCTCTGACTAAAAGAGAGACTCTTGAAGCCGGCGCGAAGCTCGCCGAAAAACGAAAGTTCCGGGAGGATAGCCCGCAGCTGAACCCGGCGGAAGTGCCGGCGCAGACCGCCAAAAAGGAGGTGGTCGCCCGCTACCTGATCGAGCGCACCAGCAAAGAGGTGCTCAACGACTGGGACGCGAAGCCGGCCAAAACACCGTGGACGTCGGTCCGCAAGGCGCACGAGGAGGAGGACCGAAAGCTCCTCGAAGAAGAGGAGAAGCAGCGCAAGGGGGATCTCGACGCCAAAAAGAAAGAGGAGGAGGACTCCGTAGACTTCGCCGACAAATAAAAGCGAAGAGTCCTCAGAGGAGCCGCCGGAGACGGCGGCCCTGTTCAAAACGTTCGCGAAGAAGACCGCGAAGGCCATCGCGACGGCTTTGAACAGCAGCGGAGAGGGCAAAATCCTCTCCTATGACGACACGCGCCCGGCTAGCGAAGGAGAAAAATTCTTCGTCTACCGACGCGTCAACGGCGTCGAGAAGAAGACGGAGGCGAAAGTCGTCTGGCCTTCCGTCCTAACACCAGGCGAAGAAGTCGCAGACGCACAGGAGCAATATAAAAGCTGCTTCTTCACGAACGGAGAAAAAGCCTCGAAGCAGGCGAGCCACGTGNAGAACTTGGCCCGGAAACAGGTCGTCGCCAGCGTCCCGGCTGACTACTGGGACAGATGCAACCTGGGCCAGTGCTGGGAGACGCTGCGCCGCGTGGAAAGCGCCATCAACGGCGCCACCGACCTGCAGCCCTTCGACTTCATGACCGAGTTCAGCGAGAACTTCCCAGAAATCGCCATCAAAAAAATGATGGCATTCTTGGGATTCATGAAGGAAGGCTCCCGCAGCCTCGACGCGCTCCAGCAGAAGATGAAGCGCTGGGAGACCGGGCAGGTGAGCAGATACATGCTCAACCTGCTGGCCTGGTGCAACCACTTCGGTCTCAACCTCATCGACGAAGCGCGCTACACTGACGAGGAGGACGGGGGAAAAATCAAACCGCCCGCCCAAAAAGCGTTCTTCAAGGAGAACATGGAGGAAATCAAAAATGAAACGTTCTCCATGCGAGACGCGGAGGCGAGCTTAGGCAAGCCGAGAGGCGAACGCGTGACAGTCACACTGCGCTCTCGCAGCCACAGCCGCCGCCGTAGCGAATCGCGAGAGCGATCGGCGAGCGAAGGCCCGCAAAACCCGTTCGGCAGCGACGCCGACAGCGGCGGGGACGACGACATGGGCACAACCATGCCGAGCGACACTTGGTTGGAGGGGTTGGATCTGGAAAAAACAGATTTCAACCCGGCCATGGACCCAGTCCACAACCGCCGCCTCGACAAACGTGTCGACGTGGTGCTAGCCGAGCGCCGAAACGCGAAGGGAGGAACACGCACGACGTACTACGTGTACTTCCCTCAAACCGGTTTAGTGGAGCCGTCCGCATTGAAGTCCCTGAAAAGTATGGGGCTCATGCTTCCGCCGGCGGTATGCCACTGGTTCCACGCGCACAAAGCGCAAGCGGTGCAGTCAGGCTGTCGCAACGACGCTCAACGCCTGGAATGCACACACCACCACCATATCGACCGCAACCGTCCTCCCCCAGGCATCACTATCGCCAAGAGAACGCGGGCAGAAGTGATCCGCTCGCAAAAAGAGCTGGCTGAAGTCCTCTTCTCGGCCCGGCTGGCAGGACGGGACATCAACCAGCAGCCAACCGGCACAGCGGCAAAACGAGCGGCAGCGAAGGACAAAGAAGCAACCCGCCACCCGAAAGACTTCGCAAAACCGAAAGTCCAGCCGATGAAGGCGATGAAGGCCAAAAACGGCCGACCACGCCGCCAACCGAAAGGACCCCAGCGAAGCGACGCAAACGCGATTCCGCTGGGACACCGGCACCGCATGCAACGACAGTCGCGAAAACGACAATCGTGGCCGTAACAAATCGAAGCGGCCGAACGAGCGCAAAAACAGCCGCTCACGCGATCGACGCCGATAAATCGATAGTGGTGGAGGGAAAAATCCTCCTGGGGAAAGACGTGAAGGAGCTCGTCGGGAGCAAACGCTCCTTCGCGGTGTGGTGGAAGGAGCCACGCACAAGCTAGAACGCGACTAGCTGGAAGAAAAAGGCTACCGGCCTCGAGGACAACAAATCCTCGAAAAACAGAATGCAAAAGCATTCGCCATAAGCCCCCTGGTCAAATTACCAGGGGCACCGGGCCACTATTCATTTAGTGGCGGAGCATTAACTTCTTCCTTTTTGACAGAGTAAAAAGCACTCTAGTTGAGAGGGATGAAACAAATCAAACCACCCGTGACGACTGGTGGCCGAAAGCGAAAACGCGGCGGCGGCAGCGCAGTGCCCGAGGGAGCGACGAGCTACATCTCGTCAAGCTAAAGAGAGGGAAAACAGAGAGGGAAGAAGTTACGAGTAAGTAAAAGATCTAGCGCTGGGGAGGCCACTTCATGAGATACGGCAGGAGGCCAAGACCCATGGCGGAGGTTCGCCTAAGCAGCCGCACGAACCAGCCTAGATAAAGAAGCAAGTAAAGACGAGAGAACAAACTAACTAGATAGACAGAACGTTAGAAGGAGCAACAGCGAGAGATAATTAATAAAATGACATAAAATAAATGCCGAAACGGGCGGACGCATTGCGCAAAGCCGCCGATCTAAACGACGACGAGCTGCGCGCCATGGGAGAAGCCGACTCCACGACTAGGAACAAAAAGTCGCGAGTCGCCTTCTTCCTCGACTGGCTAGCGGCCAAGGGTGAAAAGCTACCCTTGAGGCCGGAGGCGGTGCAAAGATTCGCCGCCTTCCTAGTGTTCAAGGAATACACCTCAGTCGCGCAGTACACATCCAGCATCATCATGTGCTGGATGTAGAGAGAAAAAGTAGGCAACTCACCTTGTGCGCTCCCTTGCCCGGGTTCAGGGCGTGGATCCCCTACTCTTTGAGTGTGTTGCGTCTCCGACGTGGCAGTGTCGCGAGGGGGACCTCGGGCCTGTTGCTTTCGGTTCTCAACATAGTGGGTGAAGCACTACGTCCATCCAGCATCATCATGTGGCTGGTAGAACCGCCACCCACGGACGACCTGCAGCGGCTAGTCGAAAGCCCCGCCATCCTCCGAAACATCGGCAAAAGCTTGCTCTTCCACCACTGCAGCCAAGAGGTCAGACTATAGGGCACTACCGAAGCTGTGCGACCAAAGCGAAACCTACGAGGCCAAATGTCGCATCCCGTCCACCCGTAGGGAGTCAGATGCTTACTATGGCATAGGGCTTCAGGGGAACTGCCTGATACTCAGCAGTAGTGCCAAACCTTTATCGCCAACAGCCAAGACCCGAAGACCGAGGCACTGCCTGATACTCAGCAGTAGTGCCCAGCCTTTTGTCGCTATAAGAGGAAAAGCCAAGACCCAAAGGCCAAGGCACTGCCTGATGCTCAGCAGTAGTGTCACCCAACTTATACGAAAGCAGCAACATAGAGCAATGACGCTCGCCGTCGCGCTACGTACATCGGGGACGTGGAAAAGGCAACTGAACGAACAATCCAAGACCACAACCCGAGGAAAGCAAAGCCTTTCCTACCGGGCACGAAGCTCGCGGCGCTAAAGGCGAAAGACCAAAAATGGTCCTCCTTTGGGCGCTATCGGGATTGCGGGGCGACAGCATCGCGGCTGTGGACGACGCGGACACCTCCAAAAAAGGAGACGCGTGGCGCATCCACATATCCGAGGACAAAATCCGCAAACAACGCGGTAGGATAATAGAAGTCCACTGCAACTGCGACACCAACGCAAAAACAGTTGGCGCACGAAGTCGCTTTTGCCCGATGCACGGCGAAGGCGCTGCTATGATGTCTGATTTCCCATTAGGCAAGGCCAAGATAAGTAGCTTGGCGAAGGGAGAAACATAGTCGGTCCACCACTACAGTCAAGCAGGCACGCATATGGGCCCTGAAACAGTGACACCAAAGCGAACCAAACAAGACCAAAGGTCGCACCCCGTCCACCCGGAGGGAGTCAGATGCTTACTATGGCCTAGGGCTTCCCAGGACTGCCTGATACTCAGCAGTAGTGCCTATCCATATTTTTTGCCAACAGCTACAGCCCGAAGACTAATAGCACTGCCTGATACTCAGCAGTAGTGCCAGTCCGTCTGTCGCTATAGAAAGAAAAGCCAAGACCCGCACGCAAGCCAAGGCACTGCCTGATGCTCAGCAGTAGTGTCACCCAACTTATACGAAAGCAGCAACATAGAGCAATGACGCTCGCAGTCGCGCTATACGTATTACCACGCCAACAGCCATAACTCCAGAAAAGCCTTAACGGGGGAGAGCAACCAACTAGAGGCGCTAAAACCCCAAGCAGCGTAGCGCCATCTGCTCCGCAACGAAAGGCACCACATCCACACCGCAGCCGCAGGCACTACTAATAACTATGAGGGACACCAACAGACTAAAGCGGCGCCAGAAAACAACCCTGACAAGACCCCCAGGCGCTAGTCTTTAGTCTGCCCCCCCGGTAGAGCAGGGGATACCTACACGGCAGATGGGGACACCATTTGCCTCAACTTAAGTTTTCCAAAGAAGCCAGACCAGAGACCCCGCGGCGCAAAGAGGGAGGATGTCCCAGCTGCAGCCATTGGGAGCCTGAAGAAGAAGACGACGAGGGCGAAGAGCTACAGCGGCACGAAAGCTACTACAACTACGGGGGCTACTGCGGGGGGTTAACTACTAAGGGAGGGGGGCTGCTTTACGGAGCATCGCCAACGGCTCCAACCTTCAATCGCCCAGGGGGTAGTCTGTGGCGACCCCACACCTAAACGCAGCTCACTAAGAGGAGCGCGAAAAGGGCGGGCTTCCGGGGGTACCGGAAGAGAAGGGAATTAGCGGCACGCTGCACAGCTGCAGGAGGGGACTCGCACTGGCAACGCGACGCGAGTGGGAGCAAGGGAGAATCTCCGTGAAGGAGGACGAATTCCTCACCCACATGGGCTGGGAACAGTCCAGCAAAATGTGGGACGAGTACACAGCCGACCACAAAACGTGGGAGGCATCGGAATTCATCCCGCTGCACGGATTGCGCAGGCGGTGGCCCTCGGGGGGGGGTCCGCCCCCGCGCGATTTCGTGCAGCCCAAGGCGGTCCAAGAGGACACCTTGGCCAAGCGGACGATCAAGATCACCCCCAAGCAGAAACTACAGAAGAAAGGGCGGAATCAACAGAATACCGTTACCAAAAAGGTGACGGCCCTAGCGCCAAAGAGCGCCAGTAGCAGCGGCTCAGGGGCACTCAAAGCAGTACCGGGCACAAAAAATAAACGTACGCACCTGGCGGCTCTGAACCTCCAGTCGTCGGGAAAAGGATGGAAGGCGCACCAAGGAGGCGTCGAGAAAGGATGGCCCAAAGGGCTGGAGGTTCAGAGTGACCTTGTTCCCCAGCGGGGGGGCAACGCCTGCTACTGCCGAGGGATTAGCCGCGCACCCGGGCCAAAGCGCCCCGGACCAAAGCGTCCGACGCGAAGAGCGAGCACCCGGAACTTCGCGGGTGCCGGTTGATCGACTCGCAGGGCGACGGTGCACGAACACCGGCCGAGCCGCGAGAGGGGTTACGACACCCGGACGCTGGTGCGCAACTCTCTCTGGGGAGGTAAAGGCCTCCCGCCACGCTCCGTGGCAAACTTATGGGCCGTAGGTGCAACGACCGGCGCCGGCAAAGACCTGGGTCTGCCGAGCCAGCCTACTGTGCTGCCACAGCACTAAAAAGTATAACTCACCAGTAGATTTAGGATCCCCGGGGGTTAAGTCTCCAGTTTGTATATGCACTGGAGGAGCTTGCGGGGGAAGTGATTATACTAACTGGTGAGTTAACTTAGGTGAGAGAAAAGATACGCTCTCTGGAAGGTTCCTGGACGACAGTCGACAAAAAATCCTCCCAGGGGCCAACCAAGCCTAGTCACAAAAAATGACGACTGCCACGCCACTACACGTCAGCCAAGCAGAAATGGAGCACGGCAACGACCGCCGCGAGCTCCATGACGCGGTCTGCAACTTCGTCAATCGGGTCCGAGCACAACTACACTTCGAGACCTACGGCCAAAAGCTACCACTCGAGTGGGAACAACTGATAGCTGCCGAGAAGCTACAGCCGGCAGCGGTAGCCAAACGAAGAAAACAAGCCACCGCCTTGTTCAGACGTCTGAAGACGCAGACGGAGCAAGCAAATGCAGACTTGATAAACGCTACGGCGCCAGAGCACCTAAAAAGGGTGCTACAGACAACCAAAACAAGGAACGTCATCGCAATGAGAAAACTCATCGCATTGACGGGCCATCCGGACACGTCGCTACCGGACGACATCCTCCATGGATTTCAAACAATAGGGGAGTACAAGAGTACTGGCCTTTGGAAGGCAGACGTCAATGCCGCGGAGGCAAAGGACCTCAAAGAATTCTATAGCACCGCGGTAAAAATCCGGGATGCGCCTCCGAAGGGTTTCCCAGAGGAAGCCCTTCGGCAAGTCCTCAAAAACATTGAGGCAGACGTCCAGCTGGGCAGATACAAAGAGATCAATCCAGAGGACCTCAAGGTCATGCCGGCGTACGCCTTCCCAAAGGTCGAACCAGAGAAGGTTCGCGTGATAATCGACGAGCGGTGGAAAAACGACTTCTCAAAAATGTCGGAAAAGGTGAGGCTCCACGGGACGCGAACGGTCCTGGAGATTGTAAAAAGCTACATGGCGCCTGCAGGCGCAGAGGGCCTCACCCTCCACGCACCGGTGACACAGTTCACCACGGATATCTGCGGCCAGGTGGCTAAAGAGGTCGCAGACTTCCGCGCAAAAACAAGCGCAAGCGAAGCCACAACCACCGACGAGCACCGCCAACTCGGCGAGCAGGTGAGGCTCCTCAACGAGGAGAGGATGAAGACCCGCCCGGCAGGTAGAAAGCCTTGCATCGCACTCCGAGACTGGAGCAAGGCCTACTACCAGGTAGGGGTAAAACACCCGGAGGAAAACCCGGTTGGAGTCTGGGACGACACCCAGGGGCGCTACCGCATGTTCCTCGCGGCGATACTGAACATGGGGAACAAGTTCAGCGTCAGCAGCTGGTGTAGAGTGGCGGAGCTGGTCATGAAAATAATGGCCACGCTCGGGCACACAGTAGTGCCAATCTACATCGACGACGCCATCATCCTCAGCCTCGAAGAGGGAGCGGATGAGGCAATAGAGGCATACGAAGCTCTCTGCGACTGCCTGGGGCTGGAGCTCGCGACAAAAGCGACAGCACAGCAGGACTCGAGAAAGAGCCCTATTGTGCGCATACTGGGCCTCCACTACGACACAAGCCCAAAAACGGGAATTGATGTTGTGGTGCCAGACAACATGCTCCAGCAGGTCGCGGAAGTCGCAAACGAGCTCCGGCAGAAAGTGAACACAGGACAGTTGGACAAAAAGGTGGTCCAGCGACTGCTCGGACTGGCAAACTTCATCACCGTGTCCGCGGCAAACAGAGCCGGAAACGAGATCATGAGATCTCTTTACGCATGGACAGAAGACGCCACCTTCGACAAGTTGGTGAAGCAGCGGTGGCAACGGAGAGCCCTCCTGCGCTCCACTGCGGCCATCGAGAAGATGGTCCACAAGGTGAACAGGCTCAGACTCAGGCTAGAACAAATCGTGAAGCCTCTGAGCTTCCTGTTCACGGACGCGTCAACAGATGGCGGGCCGAACGGCGAGCCAACGCTAGGATACGTCATGATCCACCACAGCGGGAAGACCCTCATCCAAATGCAGCCATTAACGGATGGCCGATGGGCCACCGCCAGGATAGAGGTACTGGAGGCGGCCGCGGTGGGCCTCGCCGCAAAGCAACTACCGAGTTGGACCAGCAACTCCGACCTCGTAGTGCTGATCGACAACACGCCAGTACTCTACAACTTCATCAAATGTAGTGGCAAATCCGCGGTGGTGGCAAACACCGCAGTAGACGTAGTCAATCACTGGTACGACAACAATGTCAAACCGTGGTACGTCTACATAAAATCCGAATGGAACCTGGCGGACTACATGACCAGACACGGCAAGCACAAACTGTTCATCAACACCATCCCACGGCTGCAGACGGTTCAGCAGTCCACTGGTGCCCGACTATGGCTGGCTGAACTATGTGAACGCCTGCCGGCCCCTGCTGTCGCTGTCGCTCCGGGAGTTCGTCCCTCCCACGGGAGCGACAAGCGCGGTGGAGGGCGGCAGCCGCCCCGGCACACCACCGACGCGGGCGCTGGCCGGCGGGAGGTCCTGACGCAAACCTGTGCAAAGGCCGGCACACGTCCCCGTAACCCCTCGACGGCGGACGCGAGTCTCAGACCGCCGACTCAAGTCCGCACCAGGAAGCCGGAGCCTGGTCGGGGTCTCCGGAGGAAGGTGCCGGTGAGGAAAGGATAAGGGCTCGGAGCGGTCCATTCACCGCTGGCACGTGTCAAACCGAGACCAGAGGTTGAGCGGGAGCTCAAGCCCCGGTAGTAGGCCGACAGCGCGGGCTGGAGGTTCAAAGTGACCTTGTCCCCCAGCGGGGGGACAACGCCTGCTACTGCCGAGGGATTAGCCGCGCACCCGGGCCAAAGCGCCCCGGACCAAAGCGTCCGACGCGAAGAGCGAGCACCCGAAACCTCGCGGGTGCCGGTTGATTGACTCGTAGGGCGACGGTGCACGAACACCGGCCGAGCCGCGAGAGGGGTTACGACACCCGGACGTTGGTGTGCAACTCTCTCTGGGGAGGTAAAGGCCTCCCGCCACGCTCCGTGGCAAACTTATGGGCCGTAGGTGCAACGACCGGCGCCGGCAAAGACCTGGCTCTGCCGAGCCAGCCTACTGTGCTGCCACAGCACTAAAAAGTATAGCTCGCCAGTAGATTTAGGATCCCCGGGGGTTAAGTCTCCAGTTTGTATATGCACTGGAGGAGCTTGCGGGGGAAGTGATTATACTAACTGGTGAGCTAACTTAGGTGAGATAGAAAATGCGCTCTCTCGAAGGTTCCTGGACGACAGTCGACAAAAAATCCTCCCAGGGGCCAACCAAGCCTATTCACAAAAAGTGGCGACTGCTACGCCACTACACGTCAGCCAAGCGGAAACGGAGCACGGCAAAGACTGCCGCGAGCTCCATGACGCGGTCTGCAACTTCGTCAATCGGGTCCGAGCACAACTACACTTCGAGACCTACGGCCAAAAGCTACCACTCGAATGGGAACAGCTGATAGCTGCCGAGAAGCTACAGCCAGCAGCGGTAGCCAAGCGAAGGAAACAAGCCACCGCCTTGCTCAGGCGTCTGAAAGCGCAGACGGAGCAGGCAAGTGCAGACCTAATAAACGCTACGGCGCCAGAGCACCTAAAAAGGGTGCTACAGACAACCAAAACGAGGAACGTCATCGCAATGAGAAAACTCATCGCATTGACGGGCCACCCGGACACGTCACTACCGGACGACATCCTCCATGGATTTCAAACAATAGGAGAGCACAAGAGCGCTGGCCTCTGGAAGGCAGGCATCAATGCCGCGGAGGCAAAGGACCTCAAAGAATTCTATAGCACCGCGGTAAAAATCCGCGATGCGCCCCCGAAGGGGTTCCCAGAAGAAGCCCTCCGGCAAGTCCTCAAAAACATTGAGGCAGACGCCCAGCTGGGCAGATACAAAGAGATCAACCCAGCGGGCCTCAAGGTCATGCCGGCGCACGCCTTCCCAAAGGTCGAACCAGAGAAGGCCCGCGCGATAATCGGCGAGCGGTGGAAAAACGACTTCTCAAAAATGTCGGAAAAGGTGAGGCTCCACGGGGCGCGAACGGTCCTGGAGATTGTAAAGAGCTACATGGCGCCTGCAGGCGCCGAGGGCCTCACCCTACACGCGCCGGCGACACAGTTCACCACGGATATCTGCGGCCAGGTGGCTAAAGAGGTCGCAGACTTCCGCGCAAAAACAAGCGCAGGCGAAGCCACGGCCACCTGCGAGAGCCGCCAACTCGGCGAGCAGGTGAGGCTCCTCAACGAGGAGAGGACGAAAACCCGCCCGGCAGGTAGAAAGCCTTGCATCGCACTCCGAGACTGGAGCAAGGCCTACTACCAGGTAGGGGCAAAACACCCAGAGGAAAACCCGGTGGGAGTCTGGGACGACACCCAGGGGCGCTACCGCATGTTCCTCGCAGCGATACTGAACATGGGGAACAAATTCAGCGTCAGCAGCTGGTGTAGAGTGGCGGAGCTGGTCATGAAAATAATGGCCACGCTCGGGCACACAGTAGTGCCATTCTACATCGACGACGCCATCATCCTCAGTCTCGAAGAAGGAGCGGATGAGGCGATAGAGGCATGCGAAGCCCTCTGCGACTGCCTGGGGCTGGAGCTCGCGACAAAAGCTGCAGCACAGCAGGACTCTAGAAAGAGCCCTACTGTGCGCATGCTGGGTCTCCACTACGACACAAGCCCAAAAACGGGAATTGATGTTGTGCTTGTGGCGCCAGACAACATGCTCCAGCAAGTCGCGGAAGTCGCAAACGAGCTCCGGCAAAAGGTCAACGCAGGACAGCTGGACAAAAAGGTAGTCCAGCGACTGCTAGGACTGGCAAACTTCATCACCGTATCCGCGGCAAACAGAGCCGGAAACGAGATCATGAGGTCTCTTTACGCATGGACAGAAGACGCCACTGTTGACAAGTTGGCGAAGCAGCGGTGGCAACGGAGAGCCCTCCTGCGCTCCACTGCGGCCATCGAAAAGATGGCCCACAAGCTGAACAGGCTCAGACTCAGGCTAGAACAAATCGCGAAGCCTCTGAGCTTCCTGCTCACGGACGCGTCAACAGATGGCGGGCCAAACGGCGAACCGACGCTCGGATACGTCATGATCCACCACAGCGGAAAGACCCTCATCCAAATGCAGCCCTTGACAGATGGGCGATGGGCCACCGCCAGGATAGAGGTACTGGAGGCGGCCGCGGTAGGCCTCGCCGCGAAGCAACTACCGAGTTGGGCCAGCAACTCCGGCCTCGTAGTGCTGATCGACAACACGCCAGCACTTTACAGCTTCATCAAATGCAGTGGCAAATCCGCGGTGGTGGCAAACACCGCGGTAGACGTAGTCAATCACTGGTACGATAACAATGTCAAGCCGTGGCGCGTCTACATAAAACCCGAATGGAACCTGGCAGACTACATGACCAGAAACGGCAAGCACAGACTGTTCATCAACACCATCCCACAGCTGCAGACGGTTCAGCAGTCCACTGGTGCCCGACTATGGCTGGCTGAACTATGTGAACGCCTGCCGGCCCCTGCTGTCGCTGTCGCTCCGGGAGTTCGTCCCTCCCACGGGAGTGACAAGCGCGGTGGAGGTCGGCAGCCGCCCCGGCACACCACCGACGCGGGTGCTGGCCGGCGGGAGGTCCTGACGCAAACCTGTGCAAAGGCCGGCACACGTCCCCGTAACCCCTCGACGGCGGATGCGAGTCTCGGGCCGCCGACTCAAGTCCGCACCAGGAAGCCGGAGCCTGGTCGGGGTCTCCGGAGGAAGGTGCCGGTGAGGAAAGGATAAGGGCTCGGAGCGGTCCACTCACCAATGGCACGAGTCAAACCGAGACCAGAGGCTGAGCGGGAGCTCAAGCCCCGGTAGTAGGCCGACAGCGCGGGCTGGAGGTTCAGCGTGACCTTGTTCCCCAGCGGGGGGACAACGCCTGCTACTGCCGAGGGATTAGCCGCGCACCCGGGCCAAAGCGCCCCGGGCCAAAGCGTCCGACGCGAAGAGCGAGCACCCGGAACTTCGCGGGTGCCGGTTGATCGACTCGTAGGGCGACGGTGCACGAACACCGGCCGAGCCGCGACAGGGGTCACGACACCCGGACGCTGGTGCGCAACTCTCTCTGGGGAGGTAAAGGCCTCCCGCCACGCTCCGTGGCAAACTTATGGGCCGTAGGTGCAACGACCGGCGCCGGCAAAGACCTGGGTCTGCCGAGCCAGCCTACTGTGCTGCCACAGCACTAAAAAGTATAGCTCGCCAGTAGATTTAGGACCCCCGGCGGTTAAGTCTCCAGTTTGTATATGTGGAGTGGTCTATTTTGAGTGGGAAAAACCAAATATCATCTTCTGGTCCTTTTGTGTTAAAAGAATAAGTAGAACTGTTCTTGACGAAGTCTAGTGATGAAATCTTAGACATTGCAGTCCACGTACCATTAAAGCATATACCGTGGCCCTGTCATCCGCCTCGTCCGTCTTCGGTTCCTTCTTCGGTTCCTTCTCCGGTTCCGTCTTCGCCTCTGCCTTAGCCGGCACTTGCCCCTTCGCCTTTGCCGCGATCGCCTCTTGTTCCTCTTTCGCGGTCACCTGTTTAGTCGTACCTGCAGACTCTCCACAGGACTGGCAAAATGACGCGGAACCACGAAGATTTTTCTTGCCTGAGACCACCACAGTCTGCCCTACCAGAGAAACAGCAGTATTAGAAGCATTTATCTTATTTTGAGAGAGAGAAATCACTGTGTTGATTAAATTAACGCGATGCGCGTTGCGTAACTCCTATGGACTCAGACTCTATCAGCATGATGTTTGTCGCAGCCTTTATAATCACTGTGGTGTTGAGCGATGTAATGGTATCATTGGACGGCTGAGACGCGATGTAAATGTCCTGAGACGACGCAGGCGGTGCCTTCATTTTCCGCTTGAAAAAGAAGCCGAGGCCCAGGAATGATGATCTAACAGCATCCCTTGATGCGTGCTTCTATTTTCCTCCCTACGAGAAAAAGAAGCTAAGGGGATTTGATGATCTAAGGAAGTGCTTGATGGATTGATTGACTGATGTGCCTATTCTTGAAGTAAAGGGGCTACGTGCTTAGGATAGATAGGATTGGATCCATCAAAAAAAGAGGGCAGGATGCAGATGCTTTCTCTGAGGTCGTCCCCATTGCCTTAATAGTACTACTGCTGGTCAAAGCAACTGCGCCTGCTTTACACGAGCAGGAACGCTCATACTTCCTCTTCGATGAGCGGGGCATTGTCTTTCTTTTGATCAATCTGGTACAGTTTTTGTTTAATCTGGTCACCCACCCTTGATTTTGCTTGTCTTTGTGCCACCCTTGATTTCTTTCCTACAAGAAACTTAAGTGCAAGAGGAGAGGAATAAGATACCATCTTCTGGAATCGTTACGGGGAAGCTTCGATGTTTTTTTGGAGGTGGGAAGTATAGAGGTTGAAGTAGGGAAGAGGAAAGCTTCATCAAAGCTCTAATTTCCGATTTTTTTCTTGTCGAGCCAGGCTTTTCTTTGAAACCGATTTACTATTGATTTTCGCCCACCCTCGTCTTCTAGACCGAATAGCTGTACACAGTTTGCCGCTTTTTAATGCGATTACTGACAGATACTAGCCTTTGCCGGTGCTTTTAGGTGAAGTAGGCGTGTTGCGCGAATCTCAAGTCCACGCCAAGATACATCAGACGACAAGACGCTATATAGACTCGCTCCTCTACACCTTTACAGCCACAAAATCTATATTGCGTTGCGCGCAAATTTCAGTTGGATCCTCGAAACTATCCACTTAGCTCTCAAGCAGAGTCTTGAAAAGCATCCTCAGGAAGAACCAGAATTGTCTAAAGCCTATTCCGAAAAAAAGGAAGCTCAGCAATAGGAGTGAAATAATTCATTTTGAATACCTTAGCCTCGTTTCTAAGAGCTCTTGGTGTGATTGCATCTTGTGATAACTGCTTAGCCTTATTGATTATTAAATAGGAGCGAACTTATAATTATTACTGTAGCGAAGAAGCCCTACGGACTTCTGATCAAGTTGTAGCGTGATTTCTTTCTACGTCGCATAGTGCAGCACCCTGAACATTTTGTGAAATTCGATTTTTGAAAAATAGTGCGTGTGCGGTAAAAAAGAAGAACCCAAGAATTATCTGGGACAACTTATTCAGGAGAAGCCCGAACCGCCGAATCTCATTTTTGAAGAAAAATCCCCATCAGCCTATGATACCTAGTGAACACCCTGTTGCATCATCCTAATGCCTAGTGAACACCTTGCTGCATCAAGTGCTCCAGCTTTATCACACCGATGTTTCCAGCAACCACTCCAGCACCATCATGATCTACTCCGTCCGTATTAATAATCGGCTCTTTGATATTTTGCGCCACTGGAGGAGGAGGTCTTCTTTTTAGTACGATGCGCTTTTTCGCTGGCGCGTCAGCTCCTCCTGCGTCCTCTTGTGGTGGATCTGTTGGTAGGCCTAGATATTCTAGGCCATCACACAACTCGGCTAATGCCGGATTGTCACTTGCAGAAACAACTGCATTTGCTAGCCCAGAGTGACTCCCATTTTCACCACCACCTGCACCACCACGACTTCCACCACCGCCACCTCGTATTGGTATTGGTTTGTGATCAAATTCTTCATCTGCTTCTTTTCCTCCTCCTACTTGAAGATGATGATCGGCGCTGTTGTTATTATTGTGATTAGCAGAGGTGGAATTATACGGTGGAAACGTTGGTCGACGAGCCGTAGAAGTACTCGTGGTTGTACAACTAGCACTATTTCGATTAGATGTGCTACCGCTTCTACTGGTTTTTTGTGTGGGCGTTGACGCTCTTCTGCCACTTGTTTGTTGTGTAGGAGTCGAAGAACGTCTAGCTGAAAACAGGGAAACTCCACGCATCCTTGTACTGCTAGGACTTCTACTAGTATTAAAGGTTGAAACGTTTCATTTTTAAAGAGCAATCCCGAGGGAGAAAAGCCTGTAAAAATGAAATACACCAACCCTTAATAGTACTTTTGCGCAGTTCTGCTCCTATCCTTTGACGCAGTGAAGGCGTCCCTTCCCTGCCAACTTGTCCAGTTGCCACAACTGATGAAGGAGAAGGAGCTCTACAAGTGCCATGAGTACCTATACCTTTACTACTATTAGAACGACCAGAAATCCATCTCGGGGTGCATCTTGGGCCCCCTTTTCGTCCCTTTAAGAAAAACGGGAGGACCAAGATGCTGGGGGAGATGGATTTCTTGTAGCCATAAAAATACTAGTACTAGTACTAGAGCTTGTAGTTCCTCCCATCATTTGCAGATACTTCGCAGTTTTACTACACAGCTGTGGTCGAAAGCTGCATTCTTCCACCTCCGCAGTCTCTGCCAGTGCCTTAGAACTTCCGGGAGCCTCCCACTTTGAAAGTCATCTTGGACGATCCGTTTCCCCCTTACGCGGGAGGTCCAAGATGCATGCTTTTCAAGATGGGAGATTTCCGGACAAAGGCGTAAATGCAGCAGCGTTTTCCAGCTTCTCCTTTTTTTTCCTTGCTGCTATTTCGAGTCTGCGGTAAAAATCACTCGAAGGACCTCCTGCCGGAAAGCCACGGGTTCTGGGAGGTAAGGTGGAAGCACTAGTTGCACCAGAAGAAGATCTTGATGTTGGATGACCACGACTACCCGTATGAGTACTAGTATGAGTTGTATGTGATGCAGCACCTGACGTATGAGTATCAGTATGGCCACCACCACCTCCGGCTCCGCCATAGAGATCTATTAATTGCTGTTCAGCTGGAGAAGTAGTGGTATTTTTGAAGGATGATGAAGAACTTCTTGTAGGAGCTTCTGGGTTCACAGTAGGGATTGGCTCCTGTGTATGTCCGGTAACTTCTGAAGACCTCGACGCCGCTTCAGGTCGCCCAGGTGGCACAAAACTACCAGACATGATCAGAGTAGAAGTGCCAGACATGCGCGACCCTCCACCGTCAACCCCATTAAAGGTTGAAAAAAGTCGTATCTGCCTTACACATTTGACGCGCTTCTTCTTGAAAAGGAAGAAAGATCTTGATTATCTCACCGGAACCATATTTCCATTTACACCGAGATACTCATGATCGTTCTTCACTATCTTACTACATTCTTACATATTTTTCTGCCACCTCAAATACTAGAGCCGCGTACAAGTCAATATGAAATTGGTCTTCAAGTGGTCTTAACTACACCTCCACTACCCCTTCTCGTCGACAATTTGTTTCGCGTCCTCGTATTTGATGGTTTATTCAGTTTCGGTTGGAAGGTACATTCTTGCAAAGCTTGTCTTTCCACTTCGAGTCGTCTCCTCTCCATACTTTCGGCTCTCCTTTCCATCATGCGACTAACGCGAGCGCCTATTGGACCCACATTATGCACCATCTTGTCGCTCTTAGGAAGTGTCTTCTTGCGGTTCGCAATGGCGAGAAATTCCTGTTTTCATGCGGGAGAGAAAGATTAAGTGTCTTAAACGCTGTTAAGTGTCTTAAGTGTTAGATTAAGACAACGTCCCCTAAACCTCTAACATACACATTCTTTACAAGAATCCGTTACGAATTTCGATTCACCTCCAAAGAATAGGATTCTGTAACCATCAAGAAAAATGTCACTATCACGACTCATGGTCATGATTAGTACGTTCTCCCGACTCCACTAAATCTTAAAATAGAAACAAAAGTACCTCCTTTTCCCGAATCACAACCATTCATCTCAAAATAACAACAAAGGTACGTTTTCCCGACTCGTTTTGTGTCGGTCTATTAGCTTCTGATGCCTCTTTTCGTACGATTTCGCCATGTAGGTTAGCCGATCCCCAACCGTGGGAAAGTTCGTTCTAGATGCGCCAAGCAGTTGCTGCGTTTTTCGCCTAGTCAAATCCAAACGTGGCGTGAAACTACAGTCGCCCTGCGCGTCTCGCCAGTGCTTTTTATAGTGCGACGACACAATCGAGGAGAGGTCCTGAGATGGATTTGAAGTGAAGAAATCCATCTAATCGTCAACTGCAGAAGAATGTAACTCTTTCATCATCTCGTTGTTTTAGAAGCTAGGTTCCCTATCGCTCATGGATCTACCACGGAACCTAGCTTCTAAAACAACGAGATGATGGAAGAGTTACACATCTATACGCACGAGAGAGAACAAATCAATAGGTAAAACAAAACAAACTCCATCAAAATACCCCAGGAGTCGTCGCCCCCCCCGTCCCGAACGAAGCTTCGGAACAGGCCACTGCAGTTCCACGCGCCCTGATCTCTTGGACTATTGATTCCAAAGCTGAATTTCCCACGGAGTTTATTTGGCTTTGTTCAGAGAGATTATCAGTATGTTCTTGAGACACCATAATTGACGTCATTGATGTCTCAAGAACAGCAGCGGGTTCTATTCTCTCTACTCGCTTCAAGCTTCGACTTCCTCCTCCAAGTTCTTCTGTTAGTTCAGCGTGGAGTTGGGCTAGGGTCTTGGTATCTCCAGGTCTCAGCTGGGAAGAAGGGTTGTGTGGTGCTGGGTGGTGGTTGTGTAAATGTGCAAAATTCGGTGCTCCACTGCGAAAGTTAGAAGTACCTTCCCCAGATTGGGTTTAATATTCCACTTTACATCTTCTTCACCAAAGACGACTTCCAAGAAGAGCGCATATTTTCTAAGCGAATCCTAGATTACGTACTAGGCGATGCACAACTCCAATATGCTGCGAAGACAATCATGCATTCTCAATAAACATGCATGTCGACATTCCCTCCCATAAGATCCTGCAGAAAACTTGGCAAGTCTTGCGTCAATGGCGTTGCTGCTAGTGACGAAGCGATGACTGACGATTCCGCACCTTCCTCTGGAAAAATCCAGACCCTAGGTGTGCCTCCTCGGCTACTATTGATAATTAGAACAGCACAATTATAAAAGATCTTGGAGGAATGCCAAGATGTAGTTGCCAAGATGTAGTCGCCAAGATGTTGCCTCAAGCCTTAAGATGAAAGAGGAGCGTTCTCCCGGTATAGAGGAGGCGTCTGGCGGCACCATCCTTTCGTTGTCTGAGGAACTAGCACTTGACGCGTGCCGTTTTGACGACAAATGTGAAGACGAGCCTAATTTGCAGCCAGATTTTGAGGGTAAGCGACTGCCAGGCGCGGATGCGGAAGCGAGGGGGAGTGGATTAGAGTAGGAAAAATTCTCTATCCTTTGTTGATCGTAATCATGTGGAGGAATCTGACATTCCTCACATTGGCCTTAGAACAACAAAAAATTTTTCGCATTCTTGTATACGAAGATAAGATAACAACGAAAAAAGCAGAATCACCAAGTTCTCATAAAGTTCAGTGAGTTTGAGCGTCTATCTGGGGGTATGAATCGAGGCAACTGTGTTGGTCGTGCAGCAAGGGATGCTTCGATCTTACGGACGTCCGCTTTCGCGGCTGCTATCCTTCTCGAGTCCCTCTGCTGTTGTGCTTTCCGTCTAGCACGTAACTCGGACAACATGGTCACAGGCACAGCCGACCCTTTGAGCGAACAAGCTCGCAGCGCGGATGAACTGCTACTTGAAATTAGAGACTGAGATAGAACAATATAATCATTCTGGTGAAGATAGTAGTTTCAGGTAGAGAAGTTATTTAATAGAAGTTAGAGTGAGTCTCTACAATAAGTCTACCTAATACTTTCGGGACTACAACTATATTAATCTCTAGTTATGCAGTACAAAAGTATTAATCACAAAATGGCAAAGTATATTGATAATCTTGCTTCATGGTCGTGATACAACAAAAAACTCAATTCATGATTCTTAACTTTGAAGACGCCGAGGATGATCGTATGGCTGCGCCTCTTTTGGCAGACGTAGGCTTCGATGAAGGCCTTGGTTGAAACGAGGGAGGTTGCGAGGTCGTTAGAGGTTGCAGAATTACCTTCCTCAGAACATCCCTGGCGCCTTTTTCAAGTAGAAAAAGAGCCAAGGATGGTGGTGCGGGATGTAATTCGGTAACCCTTATGATCGGTGGTTGCACCCCAGAAAAAGCAGGCAAGGCTTTGGTAGCACCTGTCGTGATTGCGAAAGCGAAGTAGGAAGTATCAATGCTTACCTGCGTCTCCACTAATACTTTTAGTTGTACTCCAAATGCTCACCATGGTAACGTGAGCTAGAAATCATAATCAAAGTATAAATGATCACAATGAAATCCTCATTTCGAAGATGAATACTTCCAGTCCTCTGTGTGGTCCCACTACTTTCCACCGTTATCACTGGGGTAGCCGCCTCTCCTCCTCCTCTAGCTCCTCTCGTTCTCCTGTGTCTTGCCCAAACATCGTTCGCTGCGTGTTTTCTCAACCTTTGTATCCTCTCCCCGGTCGCTTCCCTACTTCCGTCGACCACCAAAGACCGCTGTCCCCCTCTAGCCGACAGCATCCTCGAAAAGCGCGCACTCGCTCCCCCTGGCGTGTCATCATAGGCAGTTAGTGTTCGCAACCGCTCTAACGGCGTCGTTGACGAGGAAGACGCAGTCGGAGGATCTTGTAACATTGCCGCCGCCGCTGCTGCGGATGACGTCCCGAGTAACCCCGTTCCAACGCCAGTAGGAGGCATACTAGCAGATGAAGTAGCTCTTCTCCTATCTCCATCTTCGTGACTGCTGAAATCATCGTGCGTGTTTTCGGTCTCGCGGCCAGAGGGTCCGAGACTGAGACCACGGACCTCCCCTGCGAGAATTAAGACGTCCTCGCGAGTTAACATGTTCTTTGGGGATTTCAGATGAAAAAAAAGAGAACGTCTTGCGCGTGTCGATGGAGAGAAATTGGAATACAACTGAAAAATCAAGGTCCTTGCTTTTTCCTCCTCTTTTTCAAAAGTCAATATGCGCGTGACTCAGTAATTCTATAATTGTTTCGAAAAGTAGAGGAAAAATTTCCACGATCAAAACAGATCCTAGAGGGTACCTCGTTTGGGCTCAGCAGCAGAGTCTGAGACACCGACATTTCTATTGCAAACTACGACACAGCGACAAAAATTCAGTCCCTCGCCCGACTTTCCTCTGACTGCCCGCGCATCCTCTGAGCGGAAAGACAGGGACGAAGGACCACGAAGAGAGACCACTGTAGCAAGCGCAGTCATTCTGCGCGGCGAATGCCGTGTTGAAGCAGAGTCGTTAGACCCATTGGAATCAAAGTTCAAAGTCAAACGTCGATCGACGAGGCCGATCTAAAAGCGAGTTCTGTTCGAGTCTTGTCGTGTCAATAACAGAGTTAAACGTATTTTTCGAGGTCTTGCATCACTATTTTTTTGCGAGTTATGACTTCCTGAATAAAAAAGCGCGTAAAAAAGCCATTGAAATGTCTGTCGAACATCCAAAATCCTCCTCAACATCAAAAATATCAATATTGTTCCACTTGTTTAATCCGCAACATCAATATTCCACTTGCTTCCACTTTTCAAACTTATCTTCTCCTAACGCATGTCGCAAAGCTTTTTCCCATCGAGCTACAGTCTGTGTGAGACTTTTCACATTGAACCTCCGCATCTCGCGACTGATCGCTTGCAATCGCTCCTCGAAGGGTTAGAGAGGATAGACGAACTGTCGATTCGAAAAAATGACGATCAGCGGTCGACACGAAGACTATCGCATCGAAGTCAAAGAGCGAGAAGGTCAGAAGAAGGTCAGAAGTTGCAGTGTAGTACACTCCCGTCAACTAGAGATTAGAGACAGGATAATTCAATCGACATGTTCTTTTTCCCATAAGAATACGCCTTCGACTGCAGCAGATAGAGCAATTCGCCAATGCTGACGAAGTACTGGACACCCGGATAGCGGAAGTAGTCCGTGAATTTCAGTATTTCAAATACTGCATCCACTGAATCTTCTTGAAACGGCGAAAAACCCGTGTCGGTCTGCCAAAGCTGTTTTCTCCTTGCAGTGTATTTCCCGCTTGTAGGGTCTCTTTCGTGTGCATACTCTTTACCAAAAAATGGGTAATAGTAGGAGTTGGAATCTGGTCCTTCTTGAAGATGTTGCGCAAGCACGTCTCCTATCCGTACGTCGTAATCCAAATGATCCTGTCAATTTAGAGGTTCTTGCAAGTTGACCGCTCTAGGTCGCATATCTATGACTTTCCTAGTTGAAAAGGTCAGAGACATGGTCAACACAGTGACCCTTAATGAGGCCAACTTGGAACCCTTAATGAGAACATGTATTTGCTCAGATGTTGTGGCATCCACAAGGGCATGCTCAACTGGTAAAACTCGTAGAAGGTGATCAAATCGTTGTCGTAGGGGAACAAAATAACTGCTCTAAACTCTGTGAATTCGGAAAAACTGCGCGTCTTGGTCAACTGCCTGGTCACGAATTGGAAGGGATAAGCCATGTCGTTTCCTGCTCCTCGAAAAGAACTTGCAGCCCCCTTCTTAGTACCAGTCCTTTTGCTTCCTGCTATATTCATTCTCTTGCACTGCTCGTAGTTGTTGTTGGTGATACTATTCATACCACTGGCTGTTGCTCCCCCACCACGACTATTCCTAGATCTCTCCCATGCTCTGCGTTTTAGATGCTCGAGATAGCTATCTGTGTCGTCACCATCATGATCTACAGAATTCTGATACCCAAAGTCCGCATCGTCATCCGGCGCGCTGCTATGATGAATGTCCCTAACATGATTATGATTTTCACCGCACATCTCCAGACTTCGTGACCCTTTTTGTTCTTCCTGTTCTATGCTGGCTAAGTATTCGCCCACTTCGTGACCAAGCTGTTGTCCTAGACCATGTCGCGCTATACGCAAGCGGCCTTCTGCCGCTAGTTTTTTTCCTGCATAGTTATCTTCTTGCTCGCCTTGGTTTGACCAAGAGCTGCCTTGTGATCCTCCTCTCCTGCTTGTCGTCCTGCTGTCTTCTTGAGAAGGATGATCTCTACTATCATTATTTTTGTTTCCACCTCCTTCTAGAACTTGTAGTTGTTGGAACTCTTTTCCCCCATTCCATCGGTCGATGTGGTATTGAATCACGCCCGTTATTAGAAGTATCGCTGTGCATGATCCCTGAGGCGCCATCCCTGAACCCGGATTTCCTTGAAAAAGGGGCTAGGGATGATGCTGGGGATCATGGTTGCTTGGTACTACTTAGTTGCCTTAACATTAATACACATTCATGTGGGCGGTCTACGACTAGAATATCGTTTGGTCTGCGCAGTAACCGCGGATTCCCAGGCCACGTTGTGTCGGTACTCAAATACGACGCGTGTTGCCGAATATGCGGCAATATTTTCCCCGTCTGATATTCATACTGCATCTGCAAAAAAGGATCTGACACCGTGAGGACCGTTTTGGGGCTTGACCACAACGTGAGAAAATTGTGAAACACGTGCTCGCGCTGTGCCGGTGAGACCATGAACAATAGTGGGTGGCCGAAAAAACCTATCAATCCAGGAAGAAGTAGGCCTCTTCTCTCAACCACCTCAGCGTCACGATGTTCCGGTAATGTGCAAAAGACAAATACGCTGCAAAGAAAAATATCCGGCAAGGGATCATCGGAATTTGCTATGATTTCTCGGAATTCGGAAATCAGCAGGTCCAGGTCTTCCACAGGATCTTTCGAGGTTGCTGACCGCGGCACCCTTGCGCGAAACAAAGCTTGCAACGCTCGCACAGTCGGAGACCGGTCTACTAATGTTCCACCACCAAAGTTCTGCGCATACAGAGAAGACCACTTCTCCGGCAACCATGGTGGATACTGGTCTTCGATCAGTGTTGCGAAGTGGAATCTTCCGGTTACTAATCCTGCCCACAAATTCAGAGGTTCTGCTGTCAGACTCGCATGCACTCCGATCTCCCACACACGCAAAGAAGACTCCGATCCCGCCGCCCGGTGATCTTCTTTTTCAACGTAGTTCATGTTCTTGCCAGGGAGTAGTTCTTGTTGTCCAGCACTAACTAGTACCCTATAATCGGTCAAAGTGAAGATCCCATCCAATCTTATTGGTGAAGGAGGAATCACTACCGGTGGCAGTGAGAGTGGAGGCCGAAAGCCAGCTTGCGTGTTCTGCGCCAAAATGTCCACACTCGAGACAGTCCAATGAGAAGCATCCATGAAATCTAGGCAGTAACGCGTGTGCCCACCCAGCAGAAACTTCGCGTGTTGCAGAGTACGCGGGATGTGAAAGTAGTCTTTTTATCGTGATTCAGAGACACAAACTTTACAATAATTCTGCTCGTTACGAAATTCCAAAAAGCCTGTAGTGGAGGAAATTGATTTGTAGAGGCACAAAGGAACTGCGAGAGTAGTAAGAGTAGTTGTTTACAGTAGTATTCAGGAAAAACCATGACTATCGATAAGGCACAGCAAAAAACCACAGCCATAATCCGCTTCCTCGATTTGGCTGGACTGAAGTTGCGCGAAAGAAAGGATCCACATTGCCGTTACCACACCGTAGAGACAAGAAGGTATGGTAATCTTCTGCTGATTACAACCTTTACGTTAGAGGGGAAGGGTAATCTTCTGCTGACTACAACCTTTATGTTAGAAAATGAGAGGGGTGGCTTCGACAATAGAAACGTGGGATGCTGGGCTATTACTAGTAGGAGAGCGGTAACGATGAATTGTAACTTTCAAAAATGTTGATAACTTCTTGCGATGTATAAGTATCATCGTCTAGTATTCGTGTAAGTATTATATTTATTTGCGCTTCAGCCTGTATCGTTCATTCACCCCCCTAATGAAATGGATGAAGGGACTCACCTAGGACATATGAGGGAAAACTAACCGGCTGCTTTTCTTATCCTTTGTGTGCTTCATAATGAAAGAAGTCTTGCATGACTGGCGCATAGCCCATGTAAAATTGTTCGTCGGGCATAGTAGATTTCCCTGTTACTTTTCGTTCAAAGATTTCTTGCGCTGCTTCCACCAATGCTGGTGTAGGTACCATCTCGTGTGCACCCAGTTCTTGTTAGAGCCAGGTGGAAACGATCTTAAGTAAAGATCCAAGAATCTTGATCTTTCCGTGATCAGATACAGCTTGTGATAGATGAGAGCAGAGTAAATATACAGCGTCATCATGCAACTAGTTCTTCTGGTGAAAACTTAAAAAGGGGTACTTGTTTTCTGTTATCACAGATATAATTTGTGATCGCTACAACATCAACGTTGAAGATGGGTAAGAAATGAATGCATGACCACATAATCTTGTGCAACCATCCGACGAAAGCGTCCCCACTCTGGGTCATCCTCGCAATTGATCCAGTCTGGCAGTGTAGGCTGTTCTGCTGGTGCAGCAGCAACCGTGGCAGCAGCAAACAGCAAAGTAGACAGCAACAGACGAAGTTTTGAGGTTGAGAGGAACATCCTTTTCAAAAGCTGAGCATGGACCACGCCTCCTTTGCAAGTTCCTTCTCAAAATTCCAAGGACCACGAGGATTCTTCAATGAATATCACAGATGAATGGACTCGAGTCTAAGGGGTGACGTTGGTGAATGAGTAATTTTCTCTCTTCTAAATGTGACGAGCAGAAAAATTTTTCGTTCTCACCCAAACAATCTTCGAGAGCTACTAGAAAATTCTTGTGGGCTATTGTCCTTCGCGCGTATCACGTGCCTTGCGCGCGCTCGGACCGATAGACCAGAGAAGAGAACACGGGAAGGACGCTGTTTTTGGTATTGCAAATCACAACGAACGATACGAGGACTGCGTGAAACACAAGTAGAAAAGAAGACGGCGGCAGCGGGCCGATGCTCCCTGAGATGAAAAAAGGGGAATGCGGCTTGGCCTTCGCGCAGCTTGCTGCTGAGTGAGTGACCCGCAGGTTACTTGGGCTGGCTATGTGTTAGGCGGGGTTGGCGAGTGAAGTGTAGCAGACTCCCGGCGGCGAGCAAAGGGCCCCTCGTGGTGCCCCACAGCGATCAGGAACAGAAGAGTCGGCTCAGAAGGTCATGTGCGGGCGGCGCCGTAGAACGGAACCGCCCTGAAGGGTCAGTAGGCTGCTCCCGTAAATCCCTGAGGATTAGTAGTATCAAACGATTCGGCCACGCAGGTCAGGGGCAGCCCTCGCGGGGCTATTCTGCTCTCAGCCCACCGAGGTCCCTGCCGTTAGCCGGCGCACCCTGTAACCCCCGCGGCCGCGTTGGGGTGGAATCCCCTCCCGGTGCTCCAGGGCGACAGAAAAAGCCGGCTGCGCTGGAGGAGCCCTGCTAGGTGAGCCGCGGCAGGCTAGTCCGGCTAGGTTATTTTACTCCGGCTAGCCCCGTCGGCCTATTTTGCTCCTGTCCGCACCGCTGGGCTCGTTCAGGTCGGTTGGCTTAGTTCGGTGGGGCTGGTTTGGCTTAGGGACTTTGGCTCGGCTAGTTTGGATTAGTGCGCTTAGCTAGAGCTGGGCTCGGCTAGTCTGGCCCGGCTAGCTGATTTGGTTTAACTTAGTAGGGCTAGTCCCGTTGGGCTGGTTTGTTCAGCCGCGTCAGTTTGCTGGCTTTCGGCTAGTTAGTCTGGCTGGGCTTGGCAGGCTGCATCCATTGGGCTGCCCTCGATCGGCCCCTTGGTTTCGCTTGACTAATCTAGTGCAACTAGTTTGCCGTGGCTGCTTCAGTCAGGGCCCCTAGATTGCGAAGCCCTCTGCCTGGGTTAGTTCACCCCAGCGAAGCTACTTTAGTGGGGTGCGTTTAGTTAGGTAACCCGGCTGGTTCAGTTAGGTCCGCCCAGCTCGGCTAGCTCAGGTCGCTTACTAGGCTAGTCCGATGCCCGTTGAGTTCAGTTGGGCTGGCTTAGTTAGGTCAGCCGAGTTAGGCTAGTTAGATCGTGGCGCAGTTCAGTCAGTTTGGGGCGAGTTCGGTGGGATCAGTTCTGTCAGCTGAGTTCGGTGAGCTTGAGCAGGCTAACCCAGACGGATGAGCTTAGTAGGGTTGGACTACTTGGGTTAGCTTAGCCAGGCCCCAGCCCGCTGGGCTGAGTTGGGTTAGCTCAGCTCGGTCAGCTTAGTTGGGTCAGACTAGTTAGGCTGGCTCGTTTGGTTCGGTTAGTTTGCGCCCAGTTGGGGTAGTTTACTTAAATGCGACTCCAGTAGCGCCGGTTTAGTTCAGTCGACCTAGTTAGGCTCGTTCAGTTTAGTGAGCTTAGCTCGGTGAGCTTGGCGCACTTAGCTAGGCTGGCCGAGTTAGTCGAATTGGGTTGGGCTCGTTGGGCTTGGTTAGTTGAGTCAGCTGGGCCGAGTTTGGCCGGCTGAGTTTGGGTTAGTTGCGTCCAGTCAGTACACCTCCCTTCGGCTAGTCTAGTTAGGTCGGACGAGTTTGGTCAGTTTCGTTCGGTTAGCTTAGTCGGGCCAGCTTCGTTAAATTGGTCTAGTGCGGTCCGCTTAGTTCAGTCCACTTGGGTTGGCTCCCTTGGGTTAGTTTAGCTGGGTGGGCTTCGTTGTGTCAGTTCAGTCGGGTCAGCTTTGTTGCTGGGCTAATTTAGTTGGGCCAGCCTCGTTCAGTGAGTTTGGTTGGATTATTTTAGGGGGGTCCGTTCAATTAGTTTGGTTAGCTTGTGCGCGTTTGCTTAGGTCAGGCGAGTCCGGCTGGGTTAGTTTGGTTTGTTAGTTTGGTCCCATTCGTTTAGTTCTCTTCTGTTAGTTTGGCTCTGTTCGTTTGGCTCCGTTGGTTTGGTTCTGTTGGTTTGGTTTGGTTTTGTGAGTTTGGTTGCGCGAGTTTGGTTGCGCGAGTTTGGTTTTGTTGGTTTGGTTTTGTTGGTTTGGTTTTGTTGGTTTGGTTTTGTTGGTTTGGTTTTGTTGGTTTGGTTTTGTTGGTTTGGTTTTGTTGGTTTGGTTTTGTTGGTTTGGTTTTGTTGGTTTGGTTTTGTTGGTTTGGTTTTGTTGGTTTGGTTTTGTTGGTTTGGTTTTGTTGGTTTGGTTTTGTTGGTTTGGTTTTGTTGGTTTGGTTTTGTTGGTTTGGTTTTGTTGGTTTGGTTTTGTTGGTTTGGTTTTGTTGGTTTGGTTTTGTTGGTTTGGTTTTGTTGGTTTGGTTTTGTTGGTTTGGTTTTGTTGG